AAAAAAAAAAAAAAAAAGAAAGCTCCACTTGTAGATCCGGGTGTCAACCTCCTGATTGCAACTCATGTTTATCAATATACTTAAGGCCACAAATCACTCCCACTTTCAAGTGTTTTCTTCTCCCCTATTCTCTTATGCTGTAAAAATAAATCTGGGCAACTGAAAATACAAATGAGAATGCATTTCAAGGTCTGAAACTGCAACTGAGGTTCTTGAACCAGAAACATCCAACAGCATGAAGCCCCCTTTTCGTCCTTCATTCCTTCTCCTCTTTGAAGGCACTTCCGGATTGCGTAGACATCCTCTTTGGCTGCGCAGACAGTCAGAACACATAAGGCCATGTGCTAATCACTCCTCTTTTGTGTTACTGGTCTCGCTTTCCTGTTTTTTATCTGTTCCCTGATCTGAAGGTTTTGCAGCACTGTCTTCATACTGACAAAGTCGACTTCGGCTTCGGGCTCCTGGCTGGTATAGCTGCATTGCTGGACGATCCTGAAACACACCAGAACATAAATAGATTGTCAAAACAGACAAAGCACCACCGTCATCCTTATAGCCTTGACGGGATGAGGTCAATAACACTGCTAAGAGCCAGACCACTTCAGACTACTCAGAAGACTATTAATTATTCAAAGCACAGCTGAGGTACAAGCTGAATGGCACAGATGGTATGCCCAGGATGCCTACACTCTTTTCATCTCACTGTTTCAACAAACTGGAAATGTTCACACAAAGATGACTTCTTAAAAGATGCTCAGTTTGACTTGTATCCGGATGTCAAAGCTTTTCCCAAAAAATTTACACTCTGCTTTTCTTCCTCAGTAATAAAAACTTTTAGATCAGACATGTAAATAAATCTATTTTGCAGCCTCTATGCAACTGTTTCATCTGGTCTAGACCTGTTACTCTCGAGGGCAGGAAAAAATGTTTTAGGGCTATTTTGCATAGTGACTGCATGCAGCTTAGCACAGGAACTGCATAGCTTAGCAGTTCTTCTAGTCCTACCAGAGCAGCTTCTTTCTGCACAGTGCTTTGGAGAATCCTTAAGAGAGCCAGCAGTTTACTGCACCACTAGATCACTTCTGAAAATTTATTTTCTGCCATGAACCTACTTGCAGCATCAGCAAGAATGTGGTCCTACATTACTGATTCTCTACTGGCACCTAGAAGATTAAAACTGACATTTATCTGCTGGTAAAAGTTAGAAAATATTGATCGATTTTTTTCTGTTTAGGACTTGGCCAATAATACGTGGACTCATATTCATTTCCTATGAAGTGGGAAGACATTCTCCAAGATCAAGTTCAGCTTAGCAGTGTCAAGGCTGACAGAGTCTACCATACATTCCCTATGCTTCATGGAAAAACCTTACAGTTAGAAACTTTTTCTCCTAATTAATTTATATAATTTATAATTATAAGGAGAGAAATAGATCCAGCCTTCCCTTGAGGAGCGTTTGTCACAAAATGCACACACTGGATGTTAGAAAAGACCCAGCACCTTGTTTCTGATCCGATCTCTCTTAATTGGATCCTCTTTTTTGTCATCTTTGGTTGCTCTCTCAAATTTATCGGGATTACTTGCAAAGTCCATAAGATCACTTTTCTTTCCTTTCTCTCTGAACGAGTCTCTCTCCCTCTTCACCTCTTCCTCTTTTCTTCTGAAAACCTTCTCTCTATCAAAGCGCTCTTTCTGTCTGCGGCGGTCGTCATCTTGGCGCCTCAGTTTTTCTCGGTCTCTCTCAAAGTCTCTATCCCGGTCCCTGTAGTCTTTTCCACACTCATCTTCGGACCTGGATAAAAGAAAAACAAAAACAAAAAACCAAAAGCCAGATAATGAAGTTAAAAAGATCCAATAATTTGGGATCTGGGTTTTGTTTCTACTCCCCTGGGGGGGGGGGGGGGGGGGAAAAGGGAAAAAGGCGGAGATTTCC